AAACCTAGATCACAGTACCTGGTGAAGGAATGTTGGAAGGTCTGGGCCCTTGGGTCCCGTCAGGCTTTTTGTATTTTGAGGGTTCAGGGCTTTACGCATTTTATGGTTTAGAGCTTCAGGGCTTTAGGCATTTTAGGGTTTAGGGCTTTGGCTCAAACCTTAAGGCATTTTCGGGCTTGAGGACACTAGGCCTTTTAGTAATTCAGGGTTTCAGTTTCGGGGCTTGAAGGCGCGAGGTGTGGGGCTTTAACTTACTTACGGCACCCCAAGACACTTACGCCAGACAAGACGGGACGAGCTGGTGATCGGTGAGGCATACGCGACTGATAGCGACTGTTGGCGACATTCTACCGTACAGTGGAGGAGTGCCTATCATCACATCAGGCCGGTGCACGTTTGGATTCCAGGTAGGCCAATCTTCTCTGCACCCTAAACCCGAATCTCTAAACCCTAACTAAATGTGAAGCAGATCCACGAAAGACCCAAATCACCTACTTGCTTGAATGGAGTTGCATAAAGAAATCATGTTCAGGAACCTTGAAAACGTAAGTTCTCTAGGGTCCCAGGAAAACTCGGAATCCCAAACCCTGGCAATGACCATTTGTAACGACCATTTTTATGAGGGGCGCGGAAATCATAAGACAGTCAAACTACGCTTGCTTGAGGTGGCCTCAGATCGAAAGGGGTGGTCCGAACTACTAGGTTTCACTAGGCAAAGTTGGCGTCGCCAACGGGATGCGTGTAGCGCCCAAGGCAGTTAAAAAGATCCCAAACCCTGCATCCCGAATCCCCGGGCCCGGCATAATAAGCTCAACATTGAATCGGCAGGAGTGTTTGGGCTTGCGGTTTTTTTCTGGTTTTTTGTCGGGTGTTTTCGGGTGTTAGTCGGTTTAGAGCTTTAGGGCGTTAGGGCTTTATTGCCGGAGCAGGCCCTGTGCGGATCCGCCCGCGCCGGCCTTCTTTGGCCCCCTGGGAGGGCCCTTTGGCATTTTCAGATGGTGGCTTTTTTTGTTGTGGAGGTCTCAGAGCTTCACCAGGTTCCGGTGCTTTTGACATAGCAGTGTCGGGCTTGGCCGGGCGTTATAAACTTCGGCCACGTCTTCGTGTTGGGGTGGATGGATTTTAGCTCTGGGTCCTTGCCCTCCTGAGGCTCCCATTAAACCCTAAACCCTAAACCCTAACCCCATATTCTCATATGCCGCGTGCAATGAAGATATGCGCCCCTCACCTCTGGACAAGGTCCGCCTCGTGGTTTCCTTCGTCTGCTGGCTTTGATGCGTATGTAGGAAACAGTAATATAGTGTAACCTAACCCCTTGAACCTTCAGGGACCAAAGCCAATTTTCCCCTTTATGATACGACCTGAGTGGAAGGTAATAGCACCGGCTTCTTGAACAGGGACCCCTGAAGGTTGTTCAGAACAAGCGTCCTGCGCCCTTCACTACGGGAGGCCCACTTCTCCCACTAAGCATGCCAACTTAACTTCATCCGAAAGGATCTATCAGCCCTATAAGCCTAGAGCCTTAAACCTAAAAGGCACTAAACCCTTAACCCGAAACCCTGTGTGACATAACTCAACCTTGCTAGGTGGCTGTCATATCTGAAGGGCATGCGAAACAGACCTCTTCTAGGTCTCCTTGGTGAGTATGCACGCAAAAAGTGCCTAAATAATTACTTATATACTACTCCTTAGGGTTCCGCTTATATAGCTTAATGTCCCCCCCAATCCCAATTTTGTTATTAAGGCCCTTATTAGAGTATAAGAGAGCCAGCACGGAACTCCCAAGGTCTCCAGGTACTTCTAAAGCGGTTTAGGGTTTAGGGTTTAGGGTTTAGGGTTTAGGGAGGTTATGAACCAAACACATGTAACCCGTTAGCCCACTGTTCAGGTATCTGGAGCCCTTAGTCAGCAAAGTTCTGGCAGTCAATGCCGCAATGCCGGTCATGGCTCTGATACTATCAGTTAAGTACACAAAAAATATCAACCGGAGAGACCTGCAATGATCGCGGCCATGGTCTGAATGGCACGGCACTAATAACATTGTTGCGATCTGACCCCTAGCCCCACGTACAATGCTGCTAAACCTACTCGATGTTGATATTCGAGCTTGAACATTGGCCCCAAATCCCACACTCCACAGATCAATACTAACTCTGTGATGTCGAGCTTCTTAAGCTCGATCCTGAATCCTGAACAGGAAAACCTGAAGTACACTATGAGCCTCTTGTGTTTTATCTTAGCTGCTTTGTTTGTGGTGGGCTCCAGGATAACATTATAATCCCTAGACCCTACAACCTTGAGCCCTGAAGCCCCGAACCCCAAAGCCTCAATCGCAAAATGCCCCAGCCACCGAGGTTCCTAAACCCTGGTCATACACCTTGAACCCTAAGCTAAAGCCTAAACCGCCAAACCCAAAGTCCCTAAACGTGCCATCAGAACCAGCAGGGAAACCTCGAGAGAAACCTTAAACCCTAAACCCATACGCAGCCTCGAAGGCCGAAGGCCCTTAGAAACAAGCTATCGTATAATACCCTGGGCAAAAGGCCCACAACAGTTCTCTAAACACCTAAACAAACACCTGAGGCTTAAGCACTTGCACCCCCAACGCCTACACCCTAGACCTTGGACCACACCTAGACCCCTCCAACTATATACCCCGTGCTATGCCGTTTTACAGACCCCATCAAAGGGCACCTGCGGCCCTAACCCCTAAACGCTATTAAAGCCCTAAACCCCAAACCCTATAAACCTTATTCAATGGCATCTTGGGGGGGGGGGGAGGGGGGGGGGTCCGCTCCTTGACGTAGCTTCGCCCCAAGGAGCCTGAGCAAAGCCTCGAGCATGGCAGGTCGGAGAGTTTTAGGGTTTAGACTCTAGGTGTTTAGGGTTTAGGGTTTAGCTGTTATTATGTTTCAGGGTGGCACAAAGAGGGATATCTGTTCCGTGGGGCTTACGCGGGTTTCATAAGGTTTTAGTGCTTAAGGGGTTCAGGCTGTATAGGGTTTGGATGGAGATTGGTAGCTCGGTGTCATTCCGTGTTGTGCTTTTAGGTGTTTCAGTTTAGGGTTTTCCAAACACAAAGCTCCAGTCCTGATGTTTTGATGATTTGTGCATGATTCCGCGGGTATATGAGGATTATTAGGATCCCAAACCCTAAACCCTAAACCCTAAACCCTAAACCCTAAACCGTGATCTGCAGGCCCTGTTGGGCCCCTTGTCACTTTTGCGGGGTTGGGGAGTTCGGGGCTTTAGGGTTTGGGGCGTTGGGAGTTGGGGTTTCGGCCTTGAGGGTTTAGGGCTAGTGTGTCTATGTGTCTCTGTGTGTGTGGAGTTTCCCATGCCTTCTATAATAAATCCAGGGCCCTTGAAACCCTAAAGCCTCATGAGACTTTTGCTCTGTGTCAATTGCCAGCTCGTGGTCGTACTCAATACTCGCCCCAGCCCATCGAAGTGATGGCAGCCTTTCTCGCAAGCCCTAGAGCCCTATGCAGTTACTTATCAAAAGGGTTGCTGGGTGACAGATTCGATGGCTAGACTAGTATCCTACTGTCCAGGTAGCCGGAGCCCTAGGGAAGGACATGCAAGAAGGAATGTCATCCTGGAGCTTGCGGCGCATAATTTGTCATGATTTGTTCACTCCTGGGAGGTCGTTTGCTTGGTTGGCTTGCATGCAAGCCCATGGCCTCGTGTATGTACACATGTACGTATGCACGCAGTATGCTTGCACTGAGATGTATGTAATGTAACGTCATGTAATGTGATGCATTAAGATGTGTAGAATTGTAAGGTAATGCAAGGAAAGGTAAGGCAATGCAGGCTAATGTGGGGAAAGGTAACATATATGCCAGTATAACGCAATGTAAGGCAGTGTGAGGTGGTGTCATGTAATGTAAGGTACGGTTCAGGCAAGGCACGGTAAGGTGCGGTAGTGTAAGGCAGGGTAATATATTGTAATGTATGTACTAGTACTAGTATTAGTACTTGTACCAGTACTAGTACTAGTACTAGTACTAGTACTTCTACTACTACTACTACTACTACTACTACTACTACTCCTACTACTCCTACTACTACTACTACTACTACTACTACTACAGCTACTACTACAGCTACTACAGCTACAACAACAACAACAACAACAGCAACAACAACAACAACAACAACAACAACAACAACAGCAACTACTACTACTAGTACTACTACTACTACTACTACTACTACTACTGCTACTACTACTACTACTACAGCTACAGCAACAACAACAACAACTAACCACTACTACTCCTGCTACTACTCCTACTCCTACTACTACTACTACTACTACTACTACTACTACGGCTACCACTACAACTACCACTACCACTACCACTACCGGTACCATTACCATTACTACTGCCACTGCCACTGCCACTACCACTACCACTACCGTTACTACTACTACTACTACTACTACTACTACTACTACTACTGCTACTACTACTACTACTACTACTACTACTAGTACTATTACAACAACAACAACAACAACAACTACTACTACTACTACTACTACTACTATTACTACTACTACCACCACTACTAGTATTGTTACTATTGCTATAACTTCACCGTTGCTGTAGGTATTGTTGTTGCTGTTGCTGTTACTGCTGCGACCGTTGCTACTAATTGCTGTCATTATGACTACGACTTCATCACTTTGACTATCCGTGAGTTGCATGACTTGCATACCCGCTGCACGTCCTTTCTGGTGACTCTAGTGGTGCCACGTCGGGTGAACGTGGGATGTACGCGATTTCGAGACCCGAGCAATCAGTACCGAATACCTAGACCTTAAATCCTGAACCAAAGGTCCATACAAGAACTTTCAGAAGGCCCCCCCACCCCGGCGCAGATGCGTATCGAGGTCTCTATATCGAACCTGGAGAACACCTAAACCCTAGATTGCCCCATATCAAACGTAAGACCCTCATAGCTCAGAGTCTGTGCTTCCGCTCGCGCAGGCAGCCTCTCAACTTTTTTGACACCGTCGCGCCTTTGCGGAGAAAGACGAGAATAGAAACGTCACAATAGCTCGTGGAAGTAGTGGTACTTGTTGTAGTTGAAGTTGCAGACTAGTCTGAGAAGAGTCGTGTTGATAATCCTAACAGCAAGTTGTAATAGCGAGGCAGCAGCCTTAGTAGTTGTAGTTGCAATTGCACTTGCGGCGAGTAGAAGGAGTAGGAGTAGGAGTGGACAAGCAGTAGTAGCCGCAATGGAAACCATATAGTAGTAGCACTAGTCATAGTTATAGTCATAGAGTCCTATTACCTGTTGTAGGGATAGAAGCAGTAGTTGATAAGAGTCACAACATCAGTAGCAATTCGGATTGCCGTAGGTCAGGGATGAGGTACGTCGCTCTGAGGCTCGAGGCCTTGCAAGAAAATAAGACCCTGGAAGAAGAAGCAACACTAAGTCGTTAAAACCGTTGAAGCCTGAACCCCCTAACGCCCTAAATCCTCAAACCCTAAAGCCTAAGCCCAAAACCCTGAACCCTAAGCCCTGAAACCTCAGCCCTAAACCCTCGGCCCCAAAACCCTAAAGCCTAAACCCCAAACCCTACAACCTAAACCCTACAAGCTAAACCCTAAACCTAAACCCCAAGCCCTACAACCTAAACCCTAAAACCTAAACCCTAAACCCAAACCCCAAGCCCTACAACCTACACCCTAAATACCCTAAAACCCTGAGAGGCCCAGTAGAGAAGGAAAGTAAGCCCCAGTCCCTAAACCCTAAACCCTAAATCCTAAACTCTGAGCCCAGTAGAGAAGCAGTAGCACTTGGAGCTCCCGCCCTCGCAAGGTCGTCGTCGTGGCGGCCTCAGATTGTCTTTGGGGTTTAGGGTGCAGGGTTTAGGATTTTGGACTTAGGGTTTAGGATTTAGGGCTCAGGGTTTAGGATTTAAAGCTTGGGGTTTAGGGCTTGGGGTTCAGGATCTAGGGCTTGGGGTTTAGGGTAGCGTTCAGGGTTTCGGATTTAGGGCTTGGGGCTTAGGGTTAGAGTTTAGGTTTTGAGGGCATTCTTAAAACATCGCCGGAATGCAAAGCTGCCAGCGCAAGTTCGGTGGCTTAGGCTTCATTCTTCTGTCTGGTGCTTAGTTCATAAGGATCGTCCCTTAAGGTCCCTTATAGTAGTCCCTACAACCCATTCCCCCATTCCCTACTAAGCACCAGACAGTCTTCGGGGTTTAGGGTCTGAGACTGGGGGTGTGGGGTTCGCAAGAGGCAGCGAAGCTTCGGCCCCTAAACCCTAAACCCTAAACCCTAAACCCCAAATCCTAAACCCTAAACCCTAAACCCTAAACCCTAAGCCCCCCTGGCGCATAAGAGGATGGAGAGGCAAGGTCACTTTGCAACGCATGCGTATCGGCAAAGTGCGAGTTTTCAGCGAATCTTGGACCCCAAGGTAGAGCTTAAGTAATTCGATCCCTATGAACAGTACTAACAGTACATTCATCGACGCAAGTAATGTCAAACCCAGTGTAGTAAACCAGCTGACCTCCTTGTTGTCGAAGTCGAAAGAGGCGTATCAGGTGTATGTCGCACACTGTGAAAGTCTGTCTGCCCGTCTGCAGCCACACCCAGGGGTTTTGATTTTGTGCGATTTGCTGAAGCAAGGTTTGTGCCATCGACGTCTACATTTTAAGACCGGCAGGCAGGACGGCTTGGTTTGGGCGGGTCGGAAGAATGAGCAATAGTATCCCTTTACTTGTCCGTACATCATAATACGATAATATCCCCCTGAAACCTTTTTCTACAACCCTAAGCCCTAAACCCCCGAAAGCGACCGCGAGTGATCTCTGAAGCCAAGCACCCGAAAGCTGGCCTTTGAGGCGTCGCAGATCTGGAAGCTCTCATCATTCTGCGGCTCATCCGTGCAGCGCGGATTCTTCGCGTGGTCCGAGTTCTAAAGTTTATGAGACTGCCCCTCGGATGGTCTGGGGTTTAGGGTTTAGGGTTTAGGGTTGAGGGTTTGGGGTTACGTACCTTCAGGGTCAAGTCACTTCGCAAACAGCACGGTCAGAAGTACCTCAACCGGCAGGAGAAGTAAGCGTTAGAATCGTTAAGGAATAGCCCTTAGTCAAGCGTCCCATGCTCCTTTTAGGTGGGGAGTTGCCATTATAGGAGGCTTAGGAGGCTTATAGAAGGTCTATATACCTTGTAGAATCCTTATAAAAGCCCTATATACCCTAAACTCCCCACCTCTAGCTTCCTTTAATTTAGTAGGTAGCGACTGCACATCTGAAGCTGGCCTCCAAGAATCCTCCCCTGCCCCCGAGGTTTCATAACCTTCACGTCCTCATCGAAACGCTGAGCAGCATGATGGTCGACCTTTTCTGGGGTTGCCTCCTCTTAACGACGATCATCGTGACTGCAGGACGGCAGCTCAGACTTGCTGATGTGCACTCGACATTCACCGCTTCGCTGCAAAGTTGCGATTGCCGCAATCTGCTGCTTTAAGGCAGCCTCCTACTCCTGCTAAGCAGCATGTAGCACTGTGTCTGCCATCATTGCATTTATGATGGCGAGTTTCGTGTATAGTCTTGTTTTGCTGATGGTTCTCTTTGATCCATACTGGTAGTAATTTCAAGATACCGATTGTTGTGGTGGTGGTGCCACTGCTGCTGCTGCTGCTGCTGCTGCTGCTGCTGCTGCTGCTGCTGGGGACTGCTTCTTGTGGCAGTGATGATGGTCATGATGCATGATGATGACGATGATGGTGATGACGATAATGATGGTGGTGATGATGATGGTGGTGATGATGATGGTGCGTGTCGTTGTCATCCTTTTGCTGATGATTCGTGCTGCTCCTACAGTCCTACAGTTATAGCCAGGACTGCTTTTTGTTACCATAATCATTATCTTAGCTTGCTGCCAGCTACAAGTCTTACTAGTCGGTCTATTTTGGGTCCATGTGCGTCTGCTCACTATATGTAGGGCTCTCCGGTCTTAGGGTCCCTAAACCCTAAACTCTAACCCTAACCCTAAACTAACTAAACCCGACACCCCAAACCCCAAACTCAACCCAAAACCCTGAACTAAACCCGGCACCGTTGTGAGCCCGAAACCCTGATAGGATTCCCTACGGATCCCTTACAGGACCACTTTAAAGGAGCCCTTGTTGAGGCCTTTTTCTTGGCACCTTGGCCCAAAGCCACATCCTGGACGACAGCCTGGACCCAAAAACCCGTGAGTTCCTGTACGAAGCTTGGCTTTGAAGACCCGTAGTTTAGGGTTTAGGGGTTCAGGGGTTCAGGGGTTTAGGGGTTAAGGGGTTTAGGGTTTAGGGTTTTAGGGGGTAGGGTTTAGGGTTTAGGGGTTTGGGGTTAGGGTTGATGGGTTTAGGGTTTAGGGGGACCATAATGCTGCTAGTAGCAATATTACTAGTAGGGACCAGGGATAATAAGAATAATGGTGACAACAAGAGTACTAGTAGTAATTAATTAACTGTAATAATGACACTAATGACAATACAGATACCAATATCAGAACTGCTACTAGTAGCAAAAATAATAGTGGTAGTGATAACAACACGAACACTAAGCACAGGAATAGTGATGACAATGAACATGTTTGGGGTTTAGGGTGTTGGCAATCCTAAACCTAAGCCCACCAAAAGAACACCAAAATCCCAAAACGTACAGCCCTACAACCCAAACTTCAAGCCGTGTTTTCAGAAGCCTATGTACTCTCTAAAGGGTTCCTTTTCGGGTTCTGTGAACTACTCCAGCCCCCGAAAGTGCAAACCTAAACCCTACATCCCCAAACGCTAAACCTAAACCCTAGAACCTCAAGCCCTGAAGCCCTAACACAAACCCTAAACTCTACACTCTAAACCCCAAACCCTAAACCTTAAGCCCTAAACCTTAAACCTTTAACCTATTCTCAAGCCGGAAGACTTTTTCTACAGCCTGTATAAGGAGCCCTCCAACCCTGAACCCGTTTAGGGAGCTCCACTAGGTGCGATTATCACTTATAAAGCAATCTCTTCAGGGTTCCGTTAAGGAATCTGGGTTTCCGTTAAGGGTTGAAGGCCTGTTTTAAGGGATCTATAGGGGTTCTTTCAAGCAGCCCTTAAAGGAACGCTTAGAGAACCCTGAAGAAGAACCCTTCAGGAAGCCGTAAAGAGTCCCTAAACCCTGAACCCCAAACCCGCAACCCTAAACCCTACACCCTAAACCCTCAACCCTAACCCTAAAACCCTAAAATCCTATACCCTAAACCCTAAA